CCCCCCAATTTTCTGAAGTGTGTGGAACCTTTAAGTGTTAGAGCAAATTTTGCCTTTAGATGCCTTTACTCACATGAATGTGCATGCTACAGCTTTCAAAACAAAAGGTCCTTTTTGGTTATGATTCAGGGGGCAGCATCCCCAGAAACCACACTTTTCTTGTCCTTCAGAAAGTTTGGTGTTCCTGTGCCAGCCTAAATTCTTAAATGATTCTTTGTTCTAAAGATCTCTAACCCATGGTGATTATTAAAGATATATGCTTGCTAATTCAGTGAATGAACATAAACTGACAGGATGTTGCTAATGTGATGTTTTTTCTTTTAGAAATTAAAAAACTGGGTAAATCCTGGTTTTATGCCTAAATCTTATGTTATTTCCCTTTGACAGGCTGTCCATTCACCAAACCTGATGTGATTTTCAAGTTGGAGCAAGAAGAAGAACCATGGGTGACGGAGGAAGAAGTGTTAAGGAAACACCATCCAGGTTAGTGGAAGGGAATCAGACAGGCGAGAAGGGGCCAGGACCTTTATGGTTAATATGTGAATAGTTGATTCCTCTGAAATGTCCTTCAAAGATATTTTCATAAAGACTAGACTTTTATAGTGACAAGTGGTGTGAATTCTTTATAAATCTGTCATTTCTAGTTAAGATTCTTCTTTCCTCAGAACTTCTTTCCAGGGAACTTAAAGGAACAGTGGACCGTTTACCTATGTGTTAAATATCAATATTTTCTAACTCATTTCCAGCTTTACTTTGATAATCATTCTGTTTTTGACATCTTCGGTGTCTCCCCACCTTTTTACATAGGATCCTTTCTTTTTGCTTTCAGATATTCATGGAATTATAGTTCAAATAAACCTGTTAATATTTATAGTCCTTTACTTTCTAATTTCTTTTGTTCCTTCCACTGTAAATGCCTTAGCATCTTATTTTGTACCCATAATTATACTTCCCACTGTATTGTTAGCTTTTGCTCTCATACTTCAGTAATGGCTACATTTTACTTCAAGAAAAGTTTTAAAGACAGTGCTACTTTTCTGTTAGCTCACATTTTCTGCTGTATTTGTTGAATTTATTGGGGTGACACTGGTTAACAAAATTATACAGGTTTCAGGTATGCAATTCTACAACACATCATCTGTACAGTACATTGTGTGTTCACCACCCCAAGTCAGGTCTCCGTCCATCACCATTTATCGCCCCTACACCCTCCTCCACCTCCCTTATCCTCCTCCCCCTGGCAGTCACCACACTGTTGTTCGTGTCCATTAGTTATCTTTCTTTTTTTAATTTTTTGCTCAATCCCTCCACATCCCCAGCTGTCAGCCTGCTCTCTATCTATGAGTCTGTCTCTGTTTTGTTTGTTAGTTCATTTTGTTCATTAGATCCCACTATACTTTCTCCCTACCCAATCATGCTAGGTAGACTCAGTTGTATGTTCTAACTTGCATCTAATTGTTACTTTCCCATTGTTCTCATTTTTAATTGCTGCATTATTCAAAATAATTTTATTTACTTTTAAAAATATATAATACATGCTTACAGTACCAGTTGTTTTAGTCTACTAGAGAATGTATATTGAAAAGTAATTATTCTTTTCTTAACCATTTCCCCTCTCTGGTGGCAAACCCCTAGCATCAGTCTCTTTTGAGCTCTTACTTACTTGTATTTTTAAACATTCTTATTGAAACCACTTTAAGTTGTTAGGTTATCCTGTGATAATTGTCATCTTTGCTGCTGAATGTTTTTTTATAACTTTTTTTTTGGTGTGGAGGGGTACACAATTCAACCCATTACACTATTTTATTTGTTCAAATATGTGTGCATTTTAAAGTTTTCTTATAATTTGGAGACATTTCTGGTTAAATTTATTCCTTTTTTTTTTTTTTAAAAGTCTATTGATTTGAGAGAGAGAAAGGGGGAGAGAGAGAGATAGAAACATCAATGATGAGAGAGTCATTGATCAGCTGCCTCTTTCACACCCCCCCACTGGGGATCAAGCCCACAGCCTGGGCATGTGCCCTGACTGGAAATAGAACCCGGATCTCCTGGATCATAGGTCGATGCTCAACCAATGACCCATGCCAGCCAGGCTATTAAAGTTTTTAAATTGAGTCTGTTGGGGTGACATTGGTTAACAAAACCATACAGGTTTCAAGTGTACATCTCAACAAAACATCACCTGCACACTTCATCATGTGACAGTTTCCCAACGCTCTAACCACTGAGCAAAAGCGACTAGGGCTCCTTTCCAACTTTTTATACCTCTGATTTCTTTCTCTATTTAATGCACTACCCAGTACTGTAATAACAGTGGAATAGTACTCATCTTCTTCCTGACTTTAGTGTGTATGTGTTGGGATTTTCCCCATTAAGTATGGTGCTTTCGTTTAAGTTGTACTGTACTTTATTTCTCAAGTTAAATAATGTGTCTGTCTGGTCCCATTTTATAAAGGTTTTATTAATAGGAAATGGATTCTGAGCTTTATCATCTTTAATATCTTTGGAAATGATTACTTGATTTTTCACTTAACTTATTTACTTGGAGTAAATGAATTTTTATTGAAAAATATTTCTCCTATTGAAACATACTTATATTCCTGGGGAAAAAATCTCAGGTGGGTCATTTCGATATTTTATGTAGAATTTTTACATTGATATTTGTAAGTGAAATTGGTGTATAATTTGCTTTTTTGGTTGACATTTGTCAGGTTTTGGTATTAATATTGTTTGTTTCACAGACAAAAAAATTGGAAATTCTTCTTTTTCTCTTTTGTAACATTCTGCACAGCAGGAGAGTTGTCTCTTCAATGTTAAAATTTCATGTGAATCTGCATCTTTTCTATTTGTTTTGTTTTTAGCCGATTTCTTTTAATGTTTTTCTACTTATTTTGTGGAAGTTGGTCTAACAAGTTTTCTATCTATATCTTATAGAGTCATTTTGGTCATTTAAATTTTTCAAAAAATTATTCATGTCTAATAGTTTGTAAGAATGTATTTCAATAGAGTTCTACCAAATAGTTTTATGATTAACTTCCTGTCTTTGTTTTTCTCTATCATTATTTCTTCTAACTTTATTTGAAAATTCTGCATTCTTTTTTACTGAACAGTTTATCTGTTTTCTTTCAGATCCCATTTAAAAGCAATCAAGGCTATTTGTATTTATAGATGTCTACCTCTACTCATATTTACCTTCCTAAAATTTTCTAAAGCTTAGGAAGTAGAAGATATATGTTCCTGGAATTTACTTAATAGTGGAAAACTAGGGCTTAAGCCAAGAAGCAATCCTATAATAGCTTTTTTTTTTTTAATTTTCTTGATATAATATTGGAAAAATTGACAAGTAATGTTTACTCATAATCTGTTCTAGGAGAAATATGGAGAAACGTTGACCATCAGAATATACAGGACAGACTTTTGACACAACTTGGAGATAAGTTCATAAAAACTTTGACTGAAGAAAAAGTCAGTGAATGTCATAAGAAAATTTCTTACATGTTTTCTCCAAACTCAAACTTTTTTCCTTCTATTCACAACCTCTATGACCCTAACTTATTTGGAAAGTATTTAGAACATAATTTTGACCATCAAAATAATGAGAGAATCCTTATAAAAAAGGAATACTGTGAATATAATGAACCTATGAAGTCATCTGGCAATAGCTCATCACATCTTGTAGTAACCCCCTTTAAGTGTAATCATTGTGGAAAAGGATTTAGTCAAACCTTGGATCTCATCAGACACCTGAGAAGTCACACTGGAGAGAAACCCTATGAATGTAAAAAATGTAGGAAAGCCTTCAGCCATAAGGAAAAACTCCTAAAACATCAGAAAATTCACAGTAGGGAACAGTCTTATGAATGTAATGAATGTGGGAAAGCTTTCATTAAAGTGTCAAATCTCAGTAGACATCAAAGAATTCATACTGGAGAGAAACCTTATGCATGTAAGGAATGTGGGAAATTCTTCAGCCAGAAATCCAATCTTATTGATCATGAAAAAATTCATACTGGAGAGAAACCTTATGAATGTGATGAGTGTGGAAAAGCATTCAGCCAGAAGCAAAGCCTCATTGCACATCAGAAAGTTCATACCGGGGAGAGACCTTATGCATGTAATGAATGTGGTAAAGCTTTCCCTCGAATTGCATCCCTTGCTCTTCATATGAGAAGTCATACAGGAGAAAAACCTTATAAATGTGATAAATGTGGAAAAGCCTTCTCTCAGTTTTCCATGCTTATTATACATGTAAGAATTCATACAGGTGAGAAACCCTATGAATGTAATGAATGTGGCAAATCCTTTTCTCAAAGTTCAGCCCTTACTGTCCATATGAGAAGTCATACTGGTGAGAAACCGTATGAGTGTAAGGAGTGTAGAAAAGCCTTCAGCCACAAGAAAAACTTCATTACACACCAGAAGATTCATACTAGAGAGAAACCTTATGAATGTAATGAATGTGGGAAAGCATTTATTCAGCTGTCAAATCTCGTTAGACACCAGAGAATTCACACTGGAGAAAAACCCTATATATGTAAAGAATGTAGCAAAGCCTTTAGCCAGAAATCAAATCTCATTGCTCATGAAAAAATTCATTCTGGGGAGAAACCCTATGAATGTAATGAATGTGGTAAAGCCTTCAGCCAAAAGCAAAACTTTATTACTCATCAAAAAGTCCACACTGGAGAGAAGCCTTATGGTTGTAATAAATGTGGTAAAGCTTTCTCTCAAATTGCATCCCTTACTCTTCATCTTAGAAGTCACACGGGGGAAAAGCCTTATGAATGTGATAAATGTGGGAAATCCTTCTCTCAGTGCTCATTGCTTAACTTACATATGAGAAGTCATACAGGTGAGAAGCCCTATGTATGTAATGAATGTGGAAAAGCTTTCTCTCAAAGAACTTCCCTTATTGTGCACATGAGAGGTCATACTGGTGAAAAACCCTATGAATGTAATAAATGTGGAAAAGCCTTCTCCCAAAGCTCATCTCTCACTATACATATACGAGGTCATACAGGTGAGAAACCCTTTGACTGCAGTAAATGTGGAAAAGCCTTCTCTCAAATCTCATCTCTTACACTACATATGAGAAAACATACAGGTGAGAAGCCTTATCATTGTAATGAGTGTGGTAAGGCTTTCAGCCAAAAATCACATCTTGTTAGACACCAGAAAATTCATACTCTTTAGAAATAGAAACCCTATGAATATCGTGAATATGGAAAAACCTCCAGAAGGAATTAGCACCTCCTTTCATAATACATAATTGATTCTAGAACAGAAAACAATGAATATGAGAAAGCCTTTTGAAGAAGTTACACATTCATGAAACATGAGAATTCTTACCAGGGTTACAAATTGTATAATGAAAAAGCTGATCATCAAAAACTTTTAGCATATATCTTATCTACTAATAATATTTATTTATCATTTTTATTAAAACCTGAAACAAGATATCTTCTGTCAGCTTGTCAACATGATACTTGGGCTCCTAGCCAATGTATTATCAAGAAAAAGACTGGGGGAAAAGAGAAATTATAAAAATAACCTTTTATATGAGAAGTCACTAGAAAATGTGTTGATATAAATTATGTAAGACTAGACAGAAAAATGAATTACTATATATGTAAAATTATAAAATATTTTGAAGAGCATAAAAGAACACCTTAAAGATTTAGAAAAATAACACTGAAAAGACTTGGCATTGTAAAAAAGTAGTTTTTCCCCCCCACAAATCTCTAAAGTACTTATAAAGTACTTTCACTTAGAGTTTTCATTAGTTAGTTTTACTTTAAGAATTTCGCAGGCTGATTTAAAATATTATATTGGAATATAAAGGACTAAAGATAGCTGAAAAAAATGTGAAAAACCAAACAAAAGAGAAGACAGTATACTAGATATCATCACATACTTTATTTTAAACTGTGTCATTTAAATAATGTGTTCTTGAGGGGTAAATCAGCAGAAACAAATTGAGGATTAGAAGACAGAGATATGCAGATTTTGTGTATGATACTGCTGTGGAAATCATTGGATAAAGTATGGCCTATTTAATAAATGGAAGATTCATATTAATAAAAAGTATTAGCTGTCTATACCATATATAAAAATAAAATCCAAATAGATTAATGAACAATATAAAAAGCAAAATTCTAAAACTATGATGAAAATAGTATATATTACTTTAGAGTAACAGGATTTTTTAAAAAACACAAATACGGATCGATCAATTCTTTTTTGGTGTATTGGTTTCAAAGGCACCTACATATGTGCACAAAGAGATAATTGTGCTCACTGTATTCTATTTTGGTGTATTATCTTTAGAGCACCCACATATATGCACAGAGATATATATGTTCACTGTATTATGCTTTCTATTACTGCAGATTGGACTTAGCATAAATTTCTATTGAGAGGTAGATCAATATGATGTGATTATGTCTGTGATGAATACAATATTTACAGAATACAAATTTGACATAGTTACACGGATAGTTCACAATATATAATATTAGGAGTAAAAAGCAAAGTGTACAATAAAACATGATATTTTTGTATACACTTAATACAATAATACAAAGAATAGTACTGTGTATTTACCATGGATCCATATATTACCGTGGATTCCACTTTTATGAAATGGAAAAAGTTTGGAGGGAGTGGCTATATTTACCTGTAATATCTCTTAAAGCAAGCAAGCAAATATGACAGTGGTAACAAATCTGATTGTCAAAATTATGTTGCTTTTGTTTATATTCTTTCTTGCCTTTCTTTATTATCTGTTTTTCTAAAAAAGAATCAGGGTTGCAGGAAACCTGGACCCATAGAAACAATTTTTAAATGGGTTCTTATTTTTGATCAAATACATTTATAGAGAATTCTCTTTGCTAATACACAAACCAAGCCTGAATTAAGATATGCTTTGCTTGCCGTGTCCTCATGTTAATTAGAATAATAAAAATCAGTAGTATATTGCATTTGAGGCCAGCTTTTTAAAATTTAATTTTTATTTCAAACACTATTTTTTCTCTAGTTGAAAATAGTAAAATAACAAAAGAAACATTCAATATTTGGGATAACCAACTCTCCATTTGGGAGGAAAAAATTGCCTGCATTTGGGCTGGTCTCAGATTGAGGGAGAGAGACCATTCATGCATACTATAAAATGTGATTAATGGTCTAACAAGTCAAGCTCAAGGACTGTTGCCAACATCAGAGCAGAAGCAATTTCAATATATCTCAACAAAGGTTTCTTTGGTTTCTGGATTCTTAAATGGGAATGCAGATGTTGGTGATTTTATATATGTCAGGTAAGGGCTCAGTGGATGTGAAAGGTCACTACCACAGCTGTTTTATATTGAGGCCTTTCAAATATTTTTGGTACTCAAATTTCCTTTTCTCTGAATAGCCCATTTATATATTTTGTCTATTTTTTTCTACTGGGACTTTCAAAATGTTTTTAGTTAGAAATAAGTATAGATTTATATGAGGTTAAAGTAACAATACCCTATAGTACTATTTAATTTGTATACCCACATTCAGTTTTCCCTAATGGTAACATCTTGTATAACTATAGTAACAGTATCATAGTTCCTCTACAGCTAATGTGTCATTTCTTTCAAAAACTTTTTCCTGTATTTAGTTTTCTGAAGTTTGATTGTTGTTTCTTGGCATGAATTTTGTTGGGTTTATCCTGTTTGGGAGTTTGCTCTGCTTCTTGAATCTGTAGGCTTATGTTTATTGCCAAAATTGTGGAATTTTCTGCCATTATTTCTTTGAATGCTTTTTCAGCCTCACAATCTTTACTGTTTCTTTGTAGGACTCAGCATAGTTTTCCTCTGTTGTTCATACTGGGTAATTTCTCTATGTTCAAGTTCACTGATACTTTCTTCTGTCCTCTCATTCTGCTCTTGAGCACATCTATTGAGTCTTTTATTTTGGTTACCGTATTTTTTTGCATAATAAAATAAAAAAGTTCTCAGTCTTTTATTAGAATAACTTCTCTAAAAGCTTGAATGGCTCACTATAACACCCCCTAGGCATAGACTGAGCAACCTCACTCTTCCAACTTGGTTACTGTATTTTCCAGTTCAAAATATTCCATTTTGTTCTTTGTACTCTTCCCTTTCCTTGCTAAATTTTCTATTTTCTTCATGTGCACAAAAAAATTTAAGTTTAACATGAAAATTGCATAGTTTATGATACACCTTGAGTTTATTTTTTAAGGTATAAGATTTAGGTTGAGGTTCACTTTTTTTTAGCTTTCTCTTTTTTCCTTTTTTGCTCAATTCCTCCACCCCCCAAATACTCCCCCTCCCCCCAAACACACACAGCTGTCGGCCTGCCCTCTATCTGTGAGTCTGTTTCTATTTTGCTTGTTAGTTCAGTTTGTTCACTAAATTCCACAAGAGTGAAATCATATGGTACTTGTCTTTCTCTGACTGGCTTATTTCACTTAATGTAATGTTCTCCAGGTCAATCCATGCTGTCGCAAAGGGTAAAATTTTCTTCCTTTTTACAGCCAAGAAGTATTCCATTGTGTAAATGGACCATAGCTGTTTTATCCACTCATCTGATATGGACATTTGGGCTGCTGAGGTTTGCCTCCCCCCCCCATTTTGCCTATGATGTGTAATTGTTTTAAAACTATTTCTTGAAGAAATTATCCTATTTCTATTGAATTAAAATAACTAAGAAAAGAAGTCATTCTTGGTTTCTTCACTCTCAGTTTTATTTCATTCTCAATTCAGACAAGAACTACTGTCTTCAAATATGAAATAACTTATGAAATTGAGCTCACAGATACAGAGAACAGATTGATGGTTGCCATTGATGGGTGTGGGAGATGTGCAAAATGCGTGGAGGTCAAACAGTACACACTTAGCATGGTGACTCTAGTTAATAATACTGAATTGTGTATTTAAACGTTGTTAAAGAGTTCTCATAAAATTTTTTGTAACTATGTATGATGATAACTAGATATATTGTGGTGATCATTTTACAACATATACAAATATCAAATCATTATGTTGTACACCTAAAACTAATATAATGTTATATGTCAACTGTACTTCAATTTAAAAAAGAAATAACTAATGTACATAATAGTTTACCCAAAAAATCACATACCATGACTCTCACACTATGAAGTCATGGGGGAAATTAGTGGTTCACCATGAAATATTTATATTAGATAATAACAAAGTTGGGAAAATGTATATTATATAAATAACAAAATAGGTAAAAATATGAGTTTCTCCAAACAACTGTATATTAAACTAAACAAGCTATTTCAGAATTTGTATTGCTTTGTTATTAAGATACCATTACTAAATATGCACCATTTTTTTGTAATCTAAAGGAATTATTTTATAAGAACACAATTAAGAAAAGTTTTGGGGAAGAAAACATTTGAAAAAGTAGATAAATTAATTTACTTTCCAGCAAATTTAAAAAGGATCGTGTGCTAATTATTTCCCTGTCATTGTTTCAGCTCCAAGCATGCCTTTCTCTATTCTGTGGTGCTGGGACTCTGACAAAGATATTTCCCAGTCTCCCTTGCTCACTGGCTTCCTGTTTTACTCTGCCAATGGAGACATTAAAGGGAGATTGGAAGGCAGAAAAGCAAAAGGAACTGGCTTCCTATTTTCCAGTTTTTCAGTATCTCTCTAGCAACACAGGAGGGCTATAGCTGGCACGCAGATTCTTTCTGCTTTCCTAGCACTAGACTACCAAACTCAACAGCCAGGCTGAGACCCCTTTTCAGAGATCTTAGGTCCTGGTAAATTCACCTCTTCCCTCTTTGGTACCCAGGCTCTATGGCATTAGCTCCTCCTTGAAGTTAAAATTCTATCCCCCCTTTCCTCTTTCAGTCCTTCAACACTGTGTAATTAGCTTTCTGTAATTAACCTCTTATTTGAAATTCCCAGTGTAGTTTTGCTTTCTTGACTAGATTCTGATGGGCAGTCCGACCACAATTTTTTTTTAGCAGTCGTACTTTGAGAACTACTGCCCTGCTCTANTAGCAGTCATACTTTGAGAACTACTGCCCTGCTCTTCTGGAGATGACTGGGACCAACCAGTGTTGGACTTCGTGGGTTGAGATAAGNAGCAGTCGTACTTTGAGAACTACTGCCCTGCTCTACTGGAGATGACTGGGACCAACCAGTGTTGGACTTCGTGGGTTGAGATAAGAAAATATAGAGCAAAAGTCTTCCTATGATCAATTACTGACATATGAAGAGACGGTCATACTCATACAAAGTTTCTCTGAAGGTATACCTTGCCAGTCAGAAATGGGGTATCTGAAATGTCCAAGATGATCTCTAACCTGCATGGTAAAGTCCAGGGAAGAGCTATTTGATGTACTTGCCAGTACCAAACCACAGTTATTATCCAAAGAATACCGAACTAGTAAACTTCCCCCATTAAAGCGACCCAACTATTAAATATTTATAGGGCTTTAAAAAAAACAATTGCTTGCTTTTTTCTGAAAGTAACATTGTCCAATTTCATAAACAGCAAATCACTTCAGCCCTGGTAACTAGACTCCCTTTGTCCATGGCTCTGGCCTTAGCCAGAGGGCTCTTTGTAGGGGAGGGGATTAGAGAGATTATTCTCCAAGGGTGGGTTCTCAAGAACTTCCCCTTGCTTCCACATATCCCTGCTTACCAAGATCTTGACTTGGGTGCACCGTCCAGATCTTCCGGGGTCTATCGATGGGGAAGAATGCTGCTTTTCTGGAACTTTCACTGACACACACTCTCCTTGATCAAACTTTAGTCAGGCTCCTCTGAACACTTCTCAACCGGACTTCAACCTTTTGACTTCAGTGTTGCCTTTGCATAACTCAGTTTTAGCAAGAATTCTGTCAAGTTGGTTGAGCCAGAGTTCTTGATATGTGATCACAATATCTAATTAAATTCCTTATCCAATCTAATTAAATTCCTTATCCACCCAGCTGGCGCATGATCAGCCAGGCCTCCTCCCAGCAAGAATCTTGTTGGTCAGTCTAGCAAAAATTCCTCCAGACCCTTATGTCTCCTCATAGGAATTTTCCATACACTGACACCCCTGTCCCCAACTTGCTCCTTGCCTATAAATCCCACTTGTTCTTGCTGCATTTGGAATTGAGCCCAGTTCTACACTGGTCTTTTTCCCCTATTGAAATCGTTCCTGAATAAAATCTTTTTTTTTTTCCTTCTTCCCACTTCAACTACTCTTAGGTTCTGTTTTTAAGATCACTCGGGCTCACATCTGTCCTCCTGACTGTGGGCAGTTTCTTAAAGCGGTACCCNCGGTTCTGTTTTTAAGATCACTCAGGGGCTCACATCTGTCCTCCTGACTGTGGGCAGTTTCTTAAAGCGGTACCCTAATTAAAGTTGTAAAGTGAAAAAGTGGGAGCAGCAACAAGAGAAACTCCAGAGCTACTGGCTACAACATAAACGGCTTTGGTGCCAATGAGTATCTTCCTACAAATGGGAATCTCATTACCCTTCTGTGCCCGCTTCACATCAAGTGCAAGCAGAAAAGGGATATAAAAATGAAGGTAACAGTGACCCAGCCCATGGCGGGGGGTGAGGGATGGGGTGGGGATGGGAGAACAGATCTGGAAACAGTCACACACACAGGCACAAAAAGACTTCTTCCAGGGACTCAACCCTAAAGGCAAGACCAGCAACAAAAGTTCCACCGCCTGTCAGGTAAACCGCGACCCCTGGGATAACAACACAGTTACAAAGCCGGTCAAGCCCAAAGTCAGCCACAGGACTCTCACACAACCGCAATCACTGATATTCTCGGCGCTACAGACCCGCAGTCTGTCACACGACGACTCTCAATCACAGGACCTGAGGTAAAATACCGAAACTCCGCACGGACAGAACCCGTCGCCCCCCAGTGCGCAAGCGCGAAAGTGTGCAGCGACAGACACAAAAAACGGCCACACCTAAGCAGACGGTCAGAGACGCTCGCAGCTTCACTGTTTCCTCACACACAGTCGCCCGGGTCACTTGGGTGCCCAGCGTCTCCCTGAGCCGCACTCAGCTCTCCAGTACCTGCACCTAACGCCGGGGCCGCCTCTAACGCATGCGCGAAGTGGAGGCGGGCCTCGGGCCCTCTGGGAAATGTAGTTCAGCGAAGAACGCTGCTGCGCAAAGCCTTCTGGGGCTGGTGGTTCGCGGAGTCGCAGGGAAAAGCTGAGTTGGTAGTCCAAGCCCCTGCAGCTGGATGTTTCCCCAGCCGGTTTCTGGGGTCCAGCGCGCCTCGGCCTCCGCCCCTCTCTGCCCCACTGGGGATTCTGGGAGGCGACGTCGCGGGTCTCGGGTCGCTCTTCGGGTTTCCAGAACCCGCGGTGCCGGGAGGTGAGTTGGGCCTGGCTTCTCGCGGGAGCAAGGGGTGAGCTCTGGGCTTAAGGTGGACCCGTCTGGGGCGGGACAGCGACCAGGCGGGTGTCACTGGGGAGACTGTGTGTCACTATGTCTATGTGACAGGCTACAGGTGTGACAGAATGTGATTTTGTGTGTGTGTGTGTGTGTGTGTGTGTGTGACTCCGCAGGTACAACTATGTGTGCCTGCGTATAGATTTGTGAGACTGTGGGTGTNTGTGTGTGACTCTGCAGGTACAACTATGTGTGCCTGCGTATAGATTTGTGAGACTGTGGGTGTGACATAGTGTGTGTGTGTGTGTGTGTGTGTAATTATGTTTGACCACTTGCCTCGGGAGATATAACTGAATGTGTGTGACAGTAGGTGTGCCCATGGCCATCTGTCTCGGCGGGCATAATTTTGTATGAGTAATTGTGATCGAATGTGTGACCTTGTGTGATATGTAACTGTGTGATTGTGTGCCAGTCTCTCTGTTGGAGTAATTGTGCATCATCATCTCTAACTTTGTGTCAATGTGCCTGTGAATGTGTATGACATTACGAGTGTGATTGTGCGACCATGTAGATGTGTGTGATTGGGTGAGCATTTGTGTGACTGAGTCACAGGAACCTTAAAATTACTTGCCCAAATTCACACGGTTAATAAGTGACAAAACTGGAATTGGAGCCCACGCAGTTTGGCTCTAGGGTCCTTGCTTTTTAATTACTAAAGTAAAAACTGGGTGCCCTGGGTTCTGAGGGTGTTGGAGAGGATTGTCAGTGGGCTTGGACTAGGAACCTTTAGGACATAGGAACTAAATCTGGGTCTCTTCCCTCAGTCCCTTTGTGAATCCCAGGACCAAGTCTGAAGACATTGTATGTAGTGAAGCCCTCTTCAAACTGGCTGCCTCTGGGGTAGGAAAGCCCAACCTGAAAGCTCCTTAGGTGATGGAATTGGAGATTTTAGCATTTTCCTTGTCAAACTCTTTCATGTTTGGTGCTGAGAGAGGTTGACCGTGCCTCTTTTTCTGATGTACTAAGTGAGCTAAATTTTTGGTTCTCACTTTCTCAGTTAATAAAGAAAAATATTCTCATTTCCTTTCCAAATGTGTATGTAGAATCTCAGTGGAAACAAGGATGGCACTTCTCTATGCCAGAGTTGGCTCATGCAATCTTGACAGTAAGGAAAAAAAGGGTTCTGAGAGGTGGATTAACTTGCCCAAGGTCATGTAGAAAATGAGTAAAGGAGTAGAGAGTCTGCAAGCAGGTTGGGGGCTATTTAATGCCCAAGTCTTTAACAGGACTTTTTTCCAAATGGTTCATCTCAAAGTTGGAAAACATTACCCAAGGGATACACAGCTCCTTGCAAACAAAAATTTAAAATACATTTCTTTTATGCAGATACTACTTAGGGCTCTCAGATGCTGAGACTTTGAGTTTCCTCCCAGGTTACAAAGACTTTTATGGACTATTTCAAGGTGCATTGCACTAAGGAAATAACTTTGTTAGAGACTGAGTTGGCTAGTGCAGAGTAGCCCAGAATTAGGGGGTCATGTATCCTAAATCCTAGGTCAAACGCAACTATTCTCGTTTTCAGAATGAAGAAATGTTGGCTCAGGGAATACAAGGAACGTATTTGAGGCTGTAGAGTTTGTTATTGCTTTAGCGTTAAAATTTGGCAATGATTACCTCAGGCTGCATTTCTGTAGAATAATAATGGTAACATCTGCCATCTCTAAAGATGCTTCTCTAAGAAATATATGCCATTGATTTCTGAGTTTATGTTGAATATTTCCCATTCAGACATTTTGGTCTCTTGAAAGAGAACCAGTGTTTGAGGCACACTATAGTCTGACTCTTATGACTTCAAGTTAGTTGAGTAAGCTTTTCGAACCTCAGTTTCACTTGTTGGTAAGATGGGGATAAAAACACCTACCTTTGCAGTTTTGTAAAAATTAAATAAGATAATGGCATATACAACATGTGTAGCATCACTAAATTACAGGAGGCATAGTAAGACTTATTTATTCACTTATCAAATATCTTTTGAGAGCTTAACAATGGTTTTAGCATTATTGTAACACTAGAGATACACCGGTGAACCCAACATAAATGCTAAGAAGGGAAATAAATCAAGATAAGGAAGAAGAGACTGGAAGGGAGGTTCTCTTAAGATAGAATTTTTAGGGAAGTCCCTTTGATATGGTGACAGCTGAACAAAGATAGGAATAAAGAAAGGGAGGGTCTGCCATTTTTTTCTCCCTTAACTCTGCTTTCTCAGGACTTGGTTCTCCAAAAGAGAGAATTGAAGAAGGAAGGAAGAATGGCTGTTGGACTTTGTAAATCCGTGTCCCAGGTAAGTTGAGGTTTTCCACTTTGTTTCCAGAAATTCCACCTCATTATTTAGGACTTTGGACTAGAGAGAGTGTCACAGATAGCCTAGTGAGTACTCTCTCCACTTCTCTCTCTTCACCATTTGTTCAAATAATCCTTCCATAAAATATTTAGTATCTCTTTTACACAGTGTTATGTTCAAGTGTGTGATGAAACAGAACTCTCTTTAGGTGGATCATGATTTGTTGTATTGGAGATGAATGCAAGTGAAACAAAGGGCAGGGTGTGAGTATCAATTATCTTATTAAATAGGGAGGTAAAGGATGGCCTCTCTGAGGAAGTGATATTTAAGCAAGGAAATACTTCCATGAAAGTAGGGAATAAATATGTGGAGATCTGGTGAAGAGCTTTAAAAGTAGAAACAATAGCAAGTATGAAGTTACTATGGTGGAAGCATGTTTGATGTGTTCCAGGAATAGCAATAAGCCAGTATTGTTAGAAGCAGATGACCACTGTGAGGTCAGAGGAGGAGCTGGGGAACAAATTATGTAGGCCCTTGAAAGTCATGATTACAACTTTGAGTTTTGTTCAAAGGGCGAAGGAGAGCCATTGGAGTGTTTGTGATTTCTTTGATTTATGTTTTAAAATGAAAAGAGATAGCAGGAAGTAAGGGTGGGAGCAGGAAAGCTATTTAGGAGACTACTGCAGTAATCTAGGTAGGAGATTATAGCTTCCTGGACCATGGTAGTGGATTGGAGCTGGTGAGATTCTGGGATTTGACCAGGGATTGGTTGTGAAGTGTGAGAGGAAGAATGAAGTCATGGATGACTACAAAGATTTTTGGCCTGGGCAGCTGTATTAATGGTCATGCCATTTCTTGAGATGGAAAGACTGGGTAGGGTGAGTTTGGAATCAAGAACTTAATTCTGTATATTAAATTTGAGAGACCTGTTGGATATCCAAGAGGAATATTGATTATATATCTGAAGTTCAGGACTGGAGATGTGTATTTAAAGCATAGGACTGGATGAGATTATCTTGAGGGTAGGACTGTGGTAAAAGTAGATAGGAAAGACCGCCAAGGACTGAGTTTAGGGCATTCATCATTTAGAGGCTGACAGGAGGAGTAGGAACCAGCAAAACAGACTGAGAAGGACTGATGTAGAAGAAGAACCAGAAGGTTTGGATCCTGGAAGTCAAGAGTAGAACATCTTGAAGGAGGTAATGACCGAGTTAAATTCTTCTGAGACAGATTGAGGAAGATGAAGACTGAGAACTGACCGCTGGATTTGTTAACATGGAAGCTACTGATACCCTTGAAAAGAGCTACTTTACAGAGTGATTGGGATGAATGCATCATTGCAATAGACTTAAAAGAGAATAGAAGGTGAAAAAAGTGAGAATAGAGACAATGAGTCTCTATTTTCCCTGCTGTCCAATAATATACCCAGTAGCCACATGTGACTACTCTGAATTGAGATGTGCTATATAAGTATAAAATACATACCAGATTTTGAAGATTCAGTACAAAAAAGAATGTAAAGCGTTAATAATTTTATATTTATTACAGGTTGAAATAACATTTAGATATATTGGGTTAAATAAAAAATATTAAATTTACTTATATATACTTTTTTAATGCAGCTACTGAAAAAGTTTCAATTACATATGTGTCTCACATTGTATTCTGTTGGACATCACTGATCTAAACAACTCTTTGGAAGGGTTTTGTTATTAAAAGGAATAGAGAAATGGGAGAATAGCCAGAGTGAGATCATGGAAAGAAATTTATCTATTTATAGATGGAAGACATTGCATCAGTTTGTATACTGATGGGAATAATCCAGTAAAGCAAGAAAATACTGGTAATACAGGGAGGTTCTGATATCTCCATGATGTTTACAAGGGAGAGAGGAGACAGTGCCCTTATATGGACAAGTAGGGATTGGTCTTAGATAGGAAGCCTAGAGTTTTATCTGTAGTAGCAGGGAAGGCAGAATATATGAGTACAGATACAGGTCAGTAAACACATATGGTGGGCTAGAGGATGCGGAAGTTCAGAGTGAGAACAGGGGAGGGTTTGGTGGTGGTTAGAGGGATAGAAGGTATGAAATAGTCATGGGGAAGTGGGAGAGTGACTTTATTAAGGAGTATAGTAGAGTAGCCTAGTGGTGTTTTTATTGGATTTCTGGTCATATCCTAGAAGTATGTTGGATCAATGTTTATCAATCAGGGTTCTGGCAAGAAACTAAAAAGGGGACTATTTACAAATATATAGAAAAACTACAAAGGATAGTGCTATACCCTGGGGTCACTGCAGAGCTCCTTTACTGAGTTTAGGCCTGAACCCAGAGAAAGTGATATCTGAGTGGGGAGGTCCTCTGACAACCACTGTGACCTTTGATTGAAGGACAGAGACTACACAGGGTGGCGCTACAAGGAGGGAACCAGGGGGGAAAATGTTGTGCCTCATTCACCTTCCTCCCATGTCTTGAATGTGGCTTAACCCAACTGAAAATGGGGTGGGAGAAAGGAGTCTCTTGAGGTAGTCAATACAGGTTAGCCCCCCACAACACAGAAGTGTAGAGGGCCACATGGAAGTTATACTACACTAAGTAGTTGTCTGTTTTCTTTTCTCTAGCCACATTTATTCATATTTTTACTGTGTAGAATAACCATATTTGATATTTCATTATTTTTAATAAAAAATGAGACCATTCAATGCAGAATGGAACTCTGTCATTTTTAAGCATTTAGTACTCTTTCTTCATATGGATATGTCATAGGAATCTTTACTAAGTGGCAAATATTTCCTGAGTATTTACAATGTGACAGGTTTTATAATAGACACTGGATGTACATAAGCTTATAAAACATGTATCTTCCACTCATACAGCTTGTAGATCAGTGCTATAGCTTAAAACCTAATTTTTGGACATGTATGTTTTTTTCCAGTTTTTTTTATATAACCTTCCAATCTAAGTATCTTTACATACACTTCATTATTTCTTCAAGATACACTCTTGGATGTTTCTCCTCACATAGAGTCTAAATTTCAGATCATACCCTTTTATTAAAGCCCAATTCCAGGCCTTCTTTCACTACTTTGAGCCAGATGATATCCCAGTTTGGGGATAAAAGAATTATCCATGTAAAAATGTCCTGATACTTAGTATATGTAACATAAAACTTTGCCTTTACTCATATACTTTCATATCATAAAACTCATGTTTCATGCTATAAGCTAATTTTTTCTGTGTATATGTCCTTTCTCTTTCACAAAAATGTATAATTGTCAAGGGGTGAGTCTGTTTCTGATATTTCTCTCTTTTTCTTAAAATATTTGAAAAACCTGGGCATGTACTTGTTCCCCAATAATGATTTTCCTTGGCCCACTTAGAGCTTGGAACTCTGGCAGAATTCATTTTTATTGTTGTTGTTGTTTTCTAGGACTATATAGGAGCACGTGGCAAACAAGAATTTTTTTTTAAATTTCAGGGGTTGGTAACCTTTAGGGATGTGGCTCTAGAATTTTCCCAAGAAGAGTGGGAATGGCTGGACCCATCTCAGAAGGATTTATACAGAGATGTCATGTTGGAGAACTACAGCAATTTGGTATGGCTTGGTAAGGATGTCTCTCCCCCATAATTCAAACCGTTCCCTCTAGGGTGTTTTTGCTTCCTCAGATGGGAATATCTAGGGCATCTAAGTGCTTAGCTGAATTTCTACTTCTGTTTCCAGGAAATGATTTGAAGTAGTTTTATAGAGTTAGAAATGAGTAACTCCCATTGCTTTAGAATGATGGTTTGGAATAGCATCATCAGTATGGTATGGGAATTTGTTAAATTGCAAATTATGGGGTCCCACTCTAGACTACAGAATCAGAAACTCTGGGAATACGCCCAGCAGTCTGGGTTTTAAGAGCCCTCCAAATGATTCTGATGCCCATAAAAGTTTGAGAACTATTGTGGTTTCTGAGTTGGGGACTGGGAATATATATTTCTGTAAGTTTCTAGGTTATGGTTCTTGTGCTCTAGCACTTTGAGAACCAATGCTATGGAAGAAGTTTCATCTTCATCCTCCATACAAATATCATTCCATTCTCTAGCCCTTCCTCTAATGTCCTTTCTTGCCTAATGACCATGAGATTGAATGTGAGTCCTAGAGCAGCTATAGCATATTCTGTCTCTCTCTTTTCATTTTTCTTCTGTAAACAGGACTGTCCGTTTCCAAGCCCAACATGATCTCCTTATTGGAACAACGGAAGGATCCTTGGGTAGTGGAGAGAGAGATGTCAGATGGTCAATATACAGGTGAGTGACGGGGAACCAGATATGGCAGGCTGTTACAAGGCTTCAGCCCAAGTGGTCATGAGGAGGCTGCCCTGGCTCCGGGTCTTGTCTTTTTTTTCCAGACTTCCCAATAAAATCTCCTGGATTTCAAAGTAGGTTCATATCTAATAGTACCTTTCCCTGTTCCAACATTATACATAAGCCTACTTACTATGTAGTTCTGGTTGGAATCCAAAGTTGATTAGACGTTGACCCTTTTGCTACAGTATTTTGCTGCCTAAGTCAAGAATTTTCTTTTTTTCTTTTTTAAGAGAATGGTTGGAGCTCCAGGCACCTCAGAATCTCCCATATCAGAAATGTCTGTACTCTCCTCCCATCAGGCTTCAAAATTTTACTCAGCATTGCATTAGGTATTGTATAAAGCTGCTATTTTCCTGGAGTAGAGAAGATTCATTCTTGGTAAGAGGGAATTTAGTGGTCCCATGTGATAGATACAGGAGAAGAGATTTAGGAGATAGGTGAGGAAACAGAAGTAGCTGTACTTCTGTAGAAAGAAAAATCAACTGTGTGGACCTAACAGAGAATAAGTGAACAAAGCCCTACCAGGCCTGGGTTGAGACAGGGATTCAAGTAGGATAGTATCCATGGGGGGCAGGGTGGAGGGTTTCTGTGAAGAAGAGAGTATATTAGAAAGAAGAAAGATATAGGTGGATAATATGTTCTTTACTGCCCAATTTTGTACAATGACCCAGTGTGGAGGCAGCTTTATTTTCAACAGTTTACCAACTGTTGTGGAAAAGACTGTATTTAATTAACTCCCAAATGCTAACATGTGCAGCTCTAAAATAATCACTAAGCACATCGGAACATGAAAATGACTCCATCATGGAAATAATTACTATATTTTGGGAACCTTATCAAGGCCTTGAAAATCAAGCTCATATTCCCCAAGAATTATTCCTTAACTAAGCTAGGGAGTTTTGATCTCTGTTTTTTGGCATTTATACTATTCATAATCAGTATCATATTAACTAATTATTTATGTTCCATAGTGAATTTTTATGCACAGAATCTTTCTCTTTTTCATTAGAGTTTAAAAAGGGGAGAAGGACCTGTGTCTCAGACTTTTTTCTCCTCTACTAGGTGCTCTAGTAGTAGGTTCTATCTAGTTGAATATATTATCTGAATATTGTGGTGTGACAGGAAAAAGACTTTCTTATTTTACTCTTTCTGAGGTCATCTTTTTTTTTTTTTAATATATCTTTATTGATTTCAGAGAGAGGAAAGGAAAGGGAGAGAGAGAGATAGGAACATCAATGATGAGAGAGTCATTGATCACACACCGACTGGGGATTGAGCCCACAACTCAGGCATGTGCCCTGACCGGGAATCGAACCATGATCTCCTGGATCCTAGGTCGATGCTCAACCAAAGAGCCATGGCCTCCCAGGCCTGAGGTCATCTTTTAAACAGTAGTTTTCTTTCTCTCTTATCTCAATGAATATCCTCTTCTGAAAGTATCAAGTATGTATACTGAGGCATCATTTTTCTCTCAATAATGAGAAATGCTGACCTCCAGATTCCTTCTAGACACTGAGGGGGGAAAAACTTCCCCTCTGGTCTGATAAAATTTTAGAAGTTGTTGAGCATTCTGTCAGCATTCATAGATTCAGCAAAATGCTGCCATTGTTCTAGGCATTGGATTCAACAGTAAGAAAAAAAAAGAAATAAACAATCCCTACCCTCATGGAGCTTTTCATCTTGTGAATAGGACTAGATAGTGCAGGGTGGACTGGAGACTTTAAAGACTAGAGGCAGGAAAACTGATTATGATCTAATCAGTGTCTCCAATTCTTTATCTTTTTGGCATTTAACTTTGTCTACATCTTGATGCCCTACATTTAACCTGTTTCCCTAATCACCTCCTACTCATTACCAGCACATAGACCTTCCTCTAACAGCTCTCTTCATTCTTTGTTCTTTCTTTTTATTTTGTTCATATTGCATAGTATAATTTGAAAGCTGTCAGAACCATGTACTTTCTCTTCTCATTCCTCCAATTAAATTCTTCAATTCCTTCTATAATAGTTTTTTCTCTTTACAAAGGAAAAAAAGGATACATTTGCTTTCTTGATATTTTTCAGACTGGGAGTCTTGGTATGAAATTAAGGAATTATCTCCAAAACAGTACATTGATGATGAAGAGGAAATATCCCAGAGCATAGTGATGGAAAGACTTACAAGTCATGACTGTGAATCCTCCGGTTTCAGGAAAGCTTGGAAATATGAGTGTGAATTTGAGCAGCAGGATGGAAATCAGGAGAGACATTTCAGGCAAGTGGCAAGTCTTAAGGAAATCTATGCTGTGAAAAGAGATAATGAATATAATTCTGAGAGAAGCATTCTCTTGAAGTCAGTGCTTTTAACACAACAGAGAGTTCCCACAGTACAGTCAGTACATAAATTTGATATTTATGATAAAATGTTCCCTCCAAATTCAGTCCCAGTTGAGCATAAAAGACAACATGCTGAGAAGGAATCTTTGATAGATAATGTATGTGAAGAATTCAACCAGGGTACATACCTTAGTAAAGATAGAGGAATTCCTTCTGGGGAGAAGCCTTATGAAAGTAATGATTTTTCAAATTTCTTAAGTTTCCACTCATTACTTACTCAACATCAAACAACTCATTTTGGAAAGCTACCCAATGAATGTGGTGATACCTTTAGCTGTTATTCATTCTTTACTCAACCTCAGGGAATTAGCAGTGGAGAGAAACCATATGCATGCAATGACTGCGGAAAAGCCTTTAGCCATGACTTCTTTCTCAGTGAACATCAAAGAACTCATATTGGAGAGAAAACATATGAATGTAAGGAATGTAACAAAGCCTTTAGACAGAGTGCACACCTCGCTCAACATCAAAGAATCCACACTGGAGAAAAACCCTTTGCATGCAATGAGTGTGGAAAGGCCTTTAGCCGTTATGCCTTCCTTGTTGAACATCAGAGAATTCACACAGGAGAGAAACCATATGAATGTAAGGAATGTAACAAAGCCTTCAGACAGAGTGCACACCTTAATCAACATCAGAGAATTCACACTGGAGAAAAACCCTATGAATGTAATCAATGTGGAAAAGCCTTCAGCAGACGCATAGCCCTTACTCTCCATCAAAGAATTCATACAGGAGAGAAACCCTTTAAATGTAATGAATGTGGGAAGACCTTTGGCTATCGCTCACACCTTAATCAACATCAGAGAATTCATACTGGAGAAAAGCCCTATGAGTGCATCAAATGTGGGAAGTTTTTCCGCACTGATTCACAACTTAATCGACATCATAGAATTCATACTGGAGAGAGACCTTTTGAATGCAGTAAATGTGGAAAAGCCTTTAGTGATGCTTTAGTTCTAATTCATCATAAGAGAAGTCATGCAGGAGAGAAACCCTATGAATGTAACAAATGTGGGAAGGCCTTCAGTTGTGGCTCATACCTTAATCAACATCAGAGAATTCATACTGGGGAGAAACCGTATGAATGTAATGAATGTGGGAAGGCTTTCCATCAGATCTTGTCCCTTAGGCTACACCAAAGGATTCATGTTGGAGAAAAACCCTATAATTGTAATGAATGTGGGAATAATTTTAGCTGTGCCTCAGCCCTTAGACGACATCAGAAAATTCATAATAGAGAAACTCTCTGATTATAACAAGTATAAGAAAGAAAACGTTTAGTCACCACTCAGTCCTTATTAAATAAATATCAGTAACTTATTTGGTTAGTAATGTAGTATATATGGAAAAGCCTTCAGCTCATGAGCATCCCTTATTTGAAACAGCCTGAGTAGTAAACATCTGTTGCTTTGTGATCTGTTCTGTGCCATCTTTGAGACTTACCTCACCCTCAATTCATGTCATTCTGGTGAAACTGTTAATAAGGGAGAACAGTGAATTGGTCATAGGCCGGCCAGTTATTACTTCCCTCAACCTAGTGATTAATAAGGGATTGACAAATGGCTCAGTCTGGACTAATAGAGCTATAGGGGGTTATTATTATGGGTAGTAAAAGGAAACTTTTTTCTGGAATTGCAAGTTTCAAGGATTTAGTGAGGTTAAAAACTCATCAACAGTTTTCTTTGCCAAGATAACACAGGAAAATGGAGGTGAGAGACTGAAATCTGATGACATTGTTTGATCTCTTGGATCCAGTCATGTCTGAAGTCTATAACCATCCTTCACTTTTTCACTTTTGTGATCCAATAAATTTCTTTCCCTTTTTTTTTTCCTCTCTCGCTTTAGTTAATTTGAATTGGATTTTTGTCTCTTAGAATTACAGTCCAGACTCATATACTGTATGTTCACTACACATGTAAGAAAGCCTTGATACTTTTATATGACATAATTATTTATCCTAAGGAGAAATCTTGTGATATAACAAATATATGAAAGCTGAATACACAGCCTTTATAAAGCTGAGAGAATTGCTTCATTTTATTTGTTGATAAAAATTAATTTAGTATTTATTACTCTGTTTTACAGTAGGGATGAATTTTTTTTACTGTTACATTGTTGTGTTTATTTTTATATTTACAGGCAAAAGACCATAAAATGATACTTTTTAGTTAAATCTACTTATAATGTAGAATACAACACAGAATTACTTTTTTAAAGGCAAATCTGATATAAGGAAACTAATTTTTTTTTTTAAAAAAAAGTAACTATCAATACACAAAACATGTTAAATCTCATTATGCTAAGTGAAAGAAGTCAAAAACAAAGATTGCCTACAATGTGATTTCATTTAGGTGAAATTATAAAAATGGCAAAAAATTCACCTAGTAACACTCTTTATCAGGCTTTCTCATAAGGAATTAAAATCATTTGTGGCAGTGACTCATCATAGGCCTTCAAAGAAAGAATGGCCAGCTAAGAAAATAATGGATCCATTGGTTTAATGAATGGCTCTTCATCTTAAAGGAATGCTTTCAGCATGGGTTTAAACATATTTTGTGATAGAATATAATAAGAGAATTGTAAATGAGGTCTTTTTTGGGTGGGTTGAAAACTTCCTTTAAGAAGTTTATGGATAACTACTTTGGAACTCGAGATATCAGATAAAGACATTGCTGGCAGACAGAATAAGTCATTTTCAAATAATGGTAAAAATAAGTTGGATCCTAAAATATTTAGAGAATAAATCATTACCATTCTTCAGGGTAATGAGGAACATGAGGGTATGAGGCAGCATATTCCTATTTTATGGGTGGATGTAGGGAGGTAAACCTTGATGATATGGAAACATAGCCACCTTGGACAAGTTATAACTGGTTTAGATCTTGGGCATTGTCTGGAAATTACCTATAAAAACAAATCAGAGCAAATGAGTTAGGAAAGAATGAAGGATTTATATGTGTGCATGGAGCAAAACAACAGCTACTACTTTCACAATTTCTTAGTCAACTTATATCTAACAAAAATCTGAAAATTATTTTTGTTAAGTATTGAAACAAATTCCCTTTAAACAACTTTACAGATTTAGTATAATCGAATACTTCAATCCTTGAACAGAAACAAATGTAATGGTAATAAAACACTGTTGAACATATTACATCAATTCAAAAATATAAGTGAAATTCATGTCAACATTTCTTTATTCCTTCTTATATTTTCTGGAGATATACGAATACTTATTTTAATGCTTTCTACGGGTAGGATAATAACTTATTTTGGAAAACTCCCCAAGATTACTATAAACTTAACAGGCCTAAAGGAAAAAGAATAATGACTCAGACAGTTTAAGAGTCTGAGTTTTTCACTAATTAATTCTTGATCTAAGTAGAGCACCTGATTTGTTCCTCCATGGTACCCAAACCACTGATTGATTCTTTGTTTTTATAGTTAAACTTCATCTGTAATGTTGATAAAATCTTTACACCCATGCCTTTAGCATAGGTGTTTGTAGTTTACAATCTAGAGAATCTCTTTACAGTGAGGTACTAAATTTTGTTTATTTGCAACTATACAAACCATTGTCTTGTTGTGATATATTGACTTGATCTTTTAGCATTATTAAAAACTCATGCTTCATTTGTATCTTACAGATATTAGCACCATCTGTTCAGTTAATTTAGAACATACTGGTGAAACCCTTTCATTAATGGTGATGAACCATTAGATTCCTTTTTTAATTTGGTTATTATGCTGAACATATCTTTCTGCCTTGCTACAGTATATGTAATTTTTGCTTGTCATGTTTAAGAGTTTTTAAAATTTACTCTTTATTAAGGTCCATATTTATGTTTGTGTTTTACTTAAAAATTTTGTACTGAGTGCCTATTGTGTGCCAGGCTTTGTTCTAATCGTGCATTGAAGATAAAAATGGTGAATTAAACAGACAAAAACCCTTGTCTTTATAGAGGTGAATTCTAATGAGGCAGACAGGCAATAAAGATGATAGATGATGATAGATGAGAGATGATAGATAGATAGATAGATAGATAGATAGATAGATAGATAGATAGATAGATAGATAGATAGATAGATAGATGATAGATAGATAATGATGATAGATAGATGGATAGATAGATAGATAGATAGATGATAGATGATAGATAGATGGATGATAGATAGATAGGTGATAGATAGGTGATAGATTATATACTATATAAAGGAGTAGATTTTAAGAAAGATAAAGGAAGAGACGGGGGCCAGGTTGATACTTTAGATTGACTTTTGATTAAAAACCTGGGAAAGATAAGAGATCTATCTATTAACATTACACACACACACACACACTTCTATGCCTTATATACCTAATGGATAGGAAATTTATGTGCGTGTATTTAAACTTTATACTTACTAAACTCATTCCTATATTTTATTGTGCCTATGTATTTGTGAATTGCATTTTTAACATTTTTCTTTTTAGTCTTATGAATTTGTGGGCTTTTACAATCTGCATATGTTTCAGTTAATTATACTGTGTGTGTATATATATATATGTATGTATGTATGTGTATATATATATATATATATATATTTAATATATATTGACTTCAGAGAGAGGAAGGGAGAGGGAGAGAGAGAGAGAGAGAGAAACATCAATGATGAGAGAGAGTCATTGATCAGCTGCCTCCTGCATGCCCCCTGCTGGGGATGGAGCCCGAAACCCGGGCATGTGCCCTGACTGGGAATCAAACCTCGATCTCCTGGATCCTAGGCCAATGCTTAACCACTGAGCCACACCCAACTGGGCTACTGTATATATTTTTGATACTCAAGTAGTCACAACTTAAGCTAACCCTTGCTCCCTTTAGCACTGCTCTGACATCTTTGCAAGCATCCTTACTTTCTCGCGATAGGATGTTCCAGACCCATCCTCAGTACTTCCTGCCCAAAGTCATGAAGTTAGTTACCTTCCAAGGAATTTAGGGAGAAAACAAGCATATATATTTGAAAGAGGATGTGAAACTAGAAATAGAACTTTCCATTAAAATTTTTTCTCAGTAAAAGGTCTTGCTAGCTAGACTTGGGAGCCTAACACAGACAGTAAAGTAAAATTGGATTTTCCTTTTATACTATATTTTCTATTTTCTATTGTTCCTATTGCCCAAGAAGGAAAGAGTGGACCAACTTCACAGGAGAACTCACTTTAATAAGTATATATTAATTTTTATTAGTCTTGTAATTTCATTTGGTTTCCTATTCATTTTCATCTTTGCTCCTTTTAAAAAAATATGTTTGTGTGATTTTAGAGAGAGGAAGGGAGAGGGAGGGAAGCATTGATCAGGTGCCTCCTGCACATACCCCAACCAGGGACAACCTGCAACCTGGGTATGTATCCTGACCGGGAACCGAACCCCCAAAAGCTCTTGATGCACAGGATGACGCTCCAACCAACTGAGCCACACAGGCCAGGGCTCATCTTTGCTATTTTTTATTGGCTTTGCCACAGGTTTACAGAACTTATTGAATGTTGATTTTTTTAAAAAACGTATTTCTTAGTGGTGTTATCCTTTTATTTCTCCTAATTCTCTTGTTTTCTGCCCTTTATGCTTATAATTTAATTATTTTTTATTAAGCGTGCTGTGTCTTCCTTTTGAATTGAGAATCTAGTCTTTTGTTTTTCATGATTAATATACTTAAAGCTATACATTTCTCCTTTAAAACATAAGTTGTGTCCTATAATTTTGGCATTTAGTGTTTTTATTATTATTCATTTCCATGTATGTTATAGTTTAGGTATTCTTTAACTCAAAAGTCTTACCTGTCTTTTTGTTATTGTTTCTAAAGCTATCACACTGTAGTCAGATGTTTATATTGATTCAAATGAGGCTTCCTTTATAGCCTCATGTGTGATTAATTTTCATAACTGTTACTTGTATATTTTAAAAGTATATGTAGCCCAGCCAGCATGCTCAGTGGTTGGGCATCGACCTATGAACCAGGAGGTCACAGTTCGATGCCCGAACTGTGGGCTCTATCCCCGGGGGGGGGGCATGCGGGAGGCAGCCAATCGATGACTCTCATCATTGATGTTTCTATCTCTCTTCTTCTCTCTGAAATTAAAAAAAAAAAAGTATATGTATTCTGAGCTTGAGTATAAATTTCTCATCTATTAGGTCAAACCATTAAACTATTGGATCTTTATCAATCTGATAGGAAAATGATATCCCAGTATAGTTTTAATTTGCTTTATAAAAATTATGAATGAGTTTGAATTTCTTTTCTTTGAACTGTCTTTATCTCTTGATCAGTATTTAATTGGAAAGTGACCTTTTACTTATAAGGAAATCAGCACCATCTAACATGATTTGCAGATGTTTTTTCCAGTTTACTATTTGTTTTTTGAATTTCCTTATGGTTCTCTTTGTCATGCAAAATTGATTTTTATGTTATCCAATTTACCAGTATTTTCTTTTAAGGCTTATGAGTTTTCATTCATATTTAAAAGGCCCTCTGTATCTTGAGATTTAAAATTTTTCCCCAGGACTTCTCCTGTTACTTTTGTGCTTTTCTTTTTCTTTTTTTTTTTTTAACATTTAATTTTTGTGTATAAGAATCTAATTTTACCCTTATATGGCTACCACATTTCTCAGCACCACTTACAAATAATCCATCTTTCCTCACTTATTTGAAATGTCAGCTTTCGGATATACTAAATTACCAGATGTATTTGAGTACATTCATGTATTTCCTTTTCTATTGCATTAATTTAAGTCTACTGTCTAATTGTTTTGAGAGAGGGGTTTTGACATCTCTGGCTGTAATTGTAAACT